CTCGGTACGTGGCATCCAAGCCGCCACGATCAATTAAACGAACAAAGACGTCTAAATGGGACCGCTAGATCGTCATAGAAATATATTTACTTGTGATTGGATGCATTCAGTTCCCGAACGGCCATAAGCCGGACACGAAATAACGAACGGCCGCAAGATCGCTCGATCGATAATGTCCTCATCCATTTCCATTCACCGGTTCGAGTAACACCTCAGCCACGATGAAATTACTTAATTTGCGCTCGGCCTGCCAACTGGCTCCCCCTGTCGCGTCCTCGGGATTCTGATCGTTTGTTATCGAGAAGGGCTCGAGTAATCTACGGTTATTTTAGATCGTCTTTACCATCGCCGCGTGTGTGCGTAGTTAACTCGTTGAAACTATCGTTGAACTATCTCTTCGTTCTATCTATGTTATTAAAAGCGAACTTACGAATCTGACGTTCTGATCAAGGATTGCTTAACGATGTATGTGCACAGTAGATAAAATTATTTCGAAGATGATGAGGTTAGATAAATTGAACATTCTTCAAGGATAAATAAGATATACGTTGCGATAAACCTAGATCAATATTGGATTAATTTTAGTTAAATTTCGATAAATAAATGTGTATGTGAATTCATATTTGTTTAATTTTAGACGTGACGTAATACGAACCTAACCTAAATCTAATCCGTCGTAAACTATTCTAAACATCGCTGAAACATAAAAAATATCAGTTATATTTATAGAAAGAAATTATTTATAATGATAATCTTGATAAGATATTTCAAAAATACCAAAATCAACGAAGTGATTCTTATTCCAAACAATTATCGATGTAGTAACTCGTTGTCGCAGTTATCCACATCGATATCGATAGTCCATTCCATTTTCTTCGATTGGAAAGATTCTGGTTCTAAAACCTTGTAAACTATGTAGACATTTATAGCCTGTAAAATTCCGATAGAGGATTCAATTTAAGACACGGAGAGCGTAACAATAAGACTCGATTAACTTGGCGCGAGAGGCGAAGACATCGGGAGGTCGAAACGGAGCAATCGATTCTCTCGATAAGAGTACCGCAACCATGTTTCAGTTCGAGATAAATCCGGATTAGCACGACGAGGTAGTCGCGACGAGGAAGAAGCGTTGAATCTTAAGGGGATAAGGTTTCGGTAAATATAACGCTTTGCCTGTTAACCGGTTCCACTCGTAAATTGCCGAGAGGATAGTGAATTTATACGGTTCACAATTTATGTTGATCCAACCGGGTACCGCGTTCCGCGGACGTCAAATCGAAAAGTATCGAGTTTACAAATAAATTTAACGTCGTCCAACATCCAACGAAAACGCTTCAAGGGATTTCGCGGTAAATCTCGTCGTTTGAAAATTCAAACATCGTATCAAACTACTAAACGTGTTGAAAATAACACTAAAACTTTCTCTATTCAACTTCGAAGAACGTTCCAAGACTTTATGAACGGTTAAAGAAATGGGTTAGAAAATTAAATTTTCTTTCGAGTAACCTCATCTGTCATAAAACTAACCTCATCTGTCACTTCATCGTCTGTACTTCGAATTAGAGTTGAAACTACCGATATTGTTATCGATAAATATCGATAATATCGTTAAGATATTTAATAACAGGTAAAAATAATTATTTTTATTTTTTTTATTTAAATTTATTATCAAAAATATTAATTATCAATGAACAAAGGATATTTTATTGATTTTTTGATATATTCAAGATATCGTTAAGATATCAATGTGATACAAACATGAATGAAAATGGCTTAAATGAATTACTCAACTAAATATACTTTTTCAATAAAATCTATTTTTATTGCAACTTATTATAGATGACATTTTTTACGTGTCTTATAATAATATACAATGTTAAAAATAGAAATCAATCGTTTCTGTCTGTTAATCATAACTATAAATATCAATAAGATATCGATAAAATACTAATGATCATAATTCTCGATTTCGAAAATTAGTTGATAATTTGTAGAATTCTTCTGTTATCCTTTTTGAAACGTTTCTTCGAAATATTAAAGCATCGATATAAAATTCTAATGTATAATGAATATAATAACAACAAAGAAACGACATCACCTATTTTTATAATCTAAATTTACGTACGGAAATGGGAATTTTTTATCACAACGAGGGACACGAATAATAAAAATTTAACGAAATTCAACGAATAGACGTGTTTACACGCCTCAAGAATCGCGTCGCCCATCCATCTCGAATAGTTTTTTTCTTTTCGAATCTGTCGGAATCGTTTTCTCCAAGTGGAGTCGAAAAGCCGGCCGGCTCGATCGGTAACGAAGCTGGATCTCTCGTATCGGGGATAAAGAGTGCCGATCGAAAAGAAAGGGAGAAAAATCGGGGCGGATCGTTAACCGGAGCCGACGACAATGTTCGTGGCGTGGTTGAAACCACCATGGCAACAAATCACTCCTTATATAGCCGATCGGCGTTTCTGCGCGCCTAAG